TGCTGGTGCACACCCTTAATAACCCTAGCACTCAGGAGGCCAATATGGAAAGCACAGCCTGAGCTACACCGTGAGTTTAAGGCTAGACTGGGGTGTATGGGAAAAGCTTGTCTCATGTACACACACAGAGAGAGAGAGAGAGAGAGAGAGAGAGAGAGAGAGAGAGAGAGAGAGAGAGAGAGAATTTATCACTGGGGGTTATGATTATCAAATACTTTGAGTTTCATCAACTCAGAAATTTTATACTGTACATGTTACTTTTGTAATAGATAAAAATAAAATTTCATCCTGAGAATTCAGAAGAGCTGTTCTGACAAGCAGGTTTAAACACTGATGTGAGCACTGTGGAGATAAAAATTTGTGCGTAAGGTCAGTGGAGACTATCAGAGACCTGCAGAGCATCTGACCCTTGTCTGGATACATACACGGCTTATTCTCTTGCCTCCTTCTCTTCTGTGGGAGGGGTATGATCTTAATACACATCCCTCCCTGCAAATGCAGTGACCCAGGACAAGCCTCTTCATTTCCTGCTGTAACTGCACCCAACCCCAGACCTGTGCAGATGTTTGTGTATCCGGTGCCTGGGCTCTACAGTTCCCCTACCCCATCAGGTCATGACCCTGAAAGCAGTACAGTACCCGTAAGAGCCACATGTATATGATGAAGCTTCACCAAAGATAGCACAGATGCTATCCCATCGGCCAATAGGAAGGCCTGGGCCTCACCTAGCCTACATGAGAGCCTGAAACACCATCCTTCTGTTCAGACATGTTCCCTCTCTCTCCTCTTCTCGGTATCTTTAACAATTCTGAAGTTTCTGGACATTGCACTAACAACCCAAGGGGCTCTGAGCTCTAAAAGGATGACTGGAGCCTTGCTGCTGTGGACTGAAGACAGATCTTGAGCCACATCAGACATCACACCAGACATCTCCCTCAACCGTGCTGATGTTTGGGGCTGATAATTCTTGTGGAGATGCCCATGTCATTCCTCATCTTGTCTCAGATGCTCCCATCTGTTCCCTTATGGGGCACATGCCCCCACTTGAGAACCACCACACCATATATACATGTATATGCATGTTCCAAAACCCTATTTGGATAAGTGGATCTCATATATGTAGACAGAGAGAAGGGGGGGGGAGAGAGAGAGACAGAGAGACAGAGAGAGACAGAGAGACAGAGAGATAGACACAGAGACAGACAGACAGACAGACACAGAGAGACAGAGAGAGAGACAGACAGACAGACAGACAGACTGTGATCCTGATGAAACGTGGTAGACACGTGACAAGAGCACCTCAATTTAGAATATTTTCACCTTGTGTTCCACAGTGAATCTGGCAGCTCTCCACCTTACTACTGCAGTTAACATGTTGAGTGTTTACCAAATGCTAAGCTTTTCATAATAATTTCCATTCAGATATATAATACAAAATCTGAGTATGGTTGCCATCTTCTAGAAAAGAACTCCTAAGAGGTGATCAGGGCAAAAAGCTTTGCCTGGGGCTGTATCCCTGTGAGTGGCAGAGCCATGATGGACTTCTGCATCTCAGCTCTTCATGACATGAGCAGTGTCATGTCAAGCCCTGAGGATGCTCCCTAGACCCAAGGGGCTCTAAGAACAACAGCAGGGCAGCCCAGCAGAACTCTTCAGTTCTTGGAACTCATGCAAATTGCACAGCAGGGATGTAAGCTCTCAGGGCTTACATCAGTTCTTAGGCTTAGATAAGGAGGAGGAGCTATTTTTCTGTTTTGGTTTTCTTGCCAGAAATACATATTTATACCAAGGAAAGGTTGCCAAGACTTGAAAAGTATTTGAATTATTTAATCAGTCTTAAAAAGAACACACTGATTGGTGCTTGGATTGGCTAATGAATTTTAATCTTGGTTTTATTCCAAATCCGTAGTCCCCAAACTATAAGGAAGAATTCTGGGAACTTCTTCCCCAACATGAAGAATGTTATGTTCTTAGGGTTAGAAACCTGGGACTGGGACTCATTTCAGTGTGGTTGCAGATTCTTAGTACATGGCCCTTAAAGCAGGGTCTCCAGGGGGATTCTCCAGGCCTGTCATGGCGCTGGGACTTCTGATTGTCTGCCCTTGAGGTATGCTCACTGCTGGGGTCCAGCTTTCCTAGTCAAGGTCTTGATCATTTCAACAAAACATGGATTTGAATTCCAGCTCTGGCCCTTCTTATGCTGTGGCACTAACTCAAGGAACTAGCATTTGGGAGAATGAGCATTTGTGAGCATTTGTGAGTTCTCTCCCTTCCTAATGGACATCTTGTAAGACTATGGCTGTACAGTATTGAGCAAAGGCAGCATAAATGTGTTTATCTGTATACAGAGGATGAATGGACCTCATGCATAGTTATCCACACACATGGGCGCACACACGAAACTTCTCCAAAACTCCTGGTGTCTAAATGATGTCAGTATGGCTGATCAATATAAATAAGCACTCAGGCATCTTGAAAATTGCGGTCTTCACATTTGCAGTAGACTGTAAAGGCTTGGGTGCCGTAGTAATAAAGTGAAGGGATGCTTCTTGAGTCCTTATTAAGTCTCAAGTGCCATACTTTGTGCTTTAATTCATTTCTATTTACTTACACATGACAGTTCAGTGATGTCATAGCCACCGTTCATAGAAGAACCTGGCCCCAGTTACACACTAGTCAGAGCAAAACCTGGGATTTGAACCTGGATCTGTCAGGGCAGGGTCTCCTCCATCCTCTTCACACCTGTAGCCAGCTTCCAGGATGCTGTGTCCCAGATTGTGTTCAATCTGTAATGACACTGTAATAACACTCATTGGTTCTCAAATCCTGATTTAAGTCAAACTTCTGTCTGATTATCAGACTCCTATAGACAAAGGATTTAGATTAATATGTCATAGGTCTACTTAGAATTCTGAAATACATGCATTTCACATTCATTAAAAAAGAAAATCCGATCTCATTCAACTCCCACCCCTCTCTAATTTTCTCCCTGGTTGTGAACAAGACAGAGCAGGCTGCTGCTCCAGGCTCCTGGCCTTCGTTACCCCTTTCTATTCTGTGCTGTGCCAGGAAGCAGTGAAGTAAAATGGCCACCCAGTGAGCAGAGAAGCAGGGCCCCATTGTTCTTGGAGTGGATGGTTATGGCCCCATAAACAGCACAACACACTGGCATTGGCAGAGGCTGCAATGGGGGGCTGGCACGGCCCCCAAACCAGACACGGGGCCCCTCTGTGGAGAAGGAGGAAGTCTCTGTGCCCTGCTTCCCAAGTGGCCATTCCAGGAAGGACTCAGATGATCTGAGTTATGGAAACCAAATGGCCCGCCTTTGTTTAAAGAGAGAGGGAGAAAAAGCCACTCATTTTTGTGGTAAAGTGAAAACAGGCTCCAAACCAAACAGTCCCTCTCAGAGACAAAAATGCTAGCTCTTTAAGTGAGCCCACAGCCTCCCAGCCTGGGTTCAATCTGGGGGACATCAGAGCTGTACCCCAAGCAGCCACAGTCCTCCATCCTCCCGTCTGCTTTGCCCCAGAAATATTTGGTCTCCCGAACAGGAAAGGAAGACAAAAAGAGGAGTATTAGAAACGACCAGCAGCCAAGGCCTCAGCCTGCCTCCCACTCCTTGTTAGCTAGGACAGAGAGATGAGACAGGAGCTCACGGGGCCAGTGCATGCAACCACCTCAGGAGCCCTCCTGATCTAACCACAGCATGAGCCTGGAGTCACAAGGCCTTCTGGGGCCACCCTGTGGCTGCCTGGGGCTCTGTGGGTGGGGCTGCACCACAGGTACTGTATGGAAGAGCTGTGGATAGACCACAGCCACAGAAATAAATATAAGATCTAGTCAGGCATGCTGGGCAGAGTTTGGTTTATTCCTGGAGCAGGAAGTCTCTCCATGATGGCAGGGTGCTGCAGAGTCTGGGTCTGAGACCTGCTTTGTTTCTGTCACTATGAGCTAAGGTGGCACTTGTCTTTCTAACCTCCATTTTGCACCTGAAAAAATGATCCTAAGATGGGAAGATGGATTAGTTGGTAAAGTGGTTCACAGAAGGATGAGGACCTGAGTTTGATAACCCCAGCATCCACATACAGTAAACAAACAAACAATAGCCGGGTACAGCAACAGGTGCCTGTAATCAATCCCTGCACTGAGGAGGTAGAGCCAGGAGGGTAACTATGGCTTGTTGTCCAGACAGCCTAGCTAAATCAGGAAAACCCAGGTTCAGTGAGAAAACCCATCTCAAAAAACTAAGATGGAGAAACATAGGAAAAGGTACCTGATGTCTCTCT